AGTGCATATGGCATCTTGATTTCTGTAATTTCTACCTGTCTTTTATTAGCTTTCCATCACCCATCAGCTCTGTGAAATGTCTCTAATACACATCCTTATGTCATTCATTTACACCCTTTATATTTTCTGTTCTTGTTTTTGGGATTCATATTAGCATATAGGACATTTCTGTTCTTCCCCATAAGGACAGAGAAGCAGAACACTTTTTTTTTTTTTTTTTAATGAAAGAGCTCTTTCTGCCATTCACTTCTAAAACATCGGAAAAAATACACAGTTACTGAAGATAAAAAGCATAATTCAGTTTCCTTATCAGTCTAATCAGAAGCAGAACCTCTGAATGGCAGCTTCTCCACTACCCAGATACTTGCAACTAACAAAGATGACTTGGAGGAGGGGCACCAGTTGATAGAATTATCTGTACTTTTTTTTTTCAACTTGACTTTTCAAAAATCTATTTAGAGAATGTGTACAGCTTATAGAAATGAACATTTTCAACAAACTGTATGGGAGATTGGCATGGAAAGAGAGACAGTAACAAACGGACAAGGAGCAAATATAAACTTGACTCATTAAACTAGGAAGAGCAATTGTGAGCCATATGGCTAGCCACAAATTTTATCATTTCTTCTATGATGTCATTTATATTTAGGGAGGGGTTGGTCCACCTGAAGCCTAAATTCTGCTAGTCTGGGATTCTCCAAAGTCTAGTTAGCTTTAGGGACATGGTGAAGTGGGTGTCTCAGGATTTCTCAGAAATGAGATTGGGTAAACTGGGCAAGGTAGATAGCTCAGTGGGTAAAAGTGCTAACTACATCAACCTATTGACCCAGGTTGGAAGCCTGATGGCCTGCGTTGGATCTCTAGAATGCATATAAAACTCCTGGTGTCTGATCATGCTCCTGTAAGGTCAGTGCTCCTACAGTGAGATGGGAGGCAGAGATATGAGAACCTTTTGAGCAAACTAGCCTGGAGTATATACTCCAGATCAGTGGAAACAGGAGTGAAGGCTTCAGCAAGACAGAACGTGAGAACCAACTGTTAGACGCTGTCCTCTGACTTCCACATGTATTCTATGGCAATATCTTGCTATCTCTTACACACACACACACACACACAATTTAAAAATATATATGAATTTAAAGAGTAACGGACTTTCTCATATAAATGAAACAAAATCTCATGAAATCACTTTCAGGTAAAGAATTCAAAGACTGATGTTTGTCTTTATGAGAATGCCCCATTTCTTACAGATATTTTTGAGCAGTGTGCATGCTGTTACAAATACATATTTTATTATAAATAGTATTAGCTATGCTGTCATGTTGGAGCCTATAACAACTGTATCCCCTTGGTAGACTTGAATCTGAAGCATGTGGAGAAAAAAAATGCAAGGGTAGTATCTTGGGACAGTGACAACATGCTGCCAGGAAGAGGAAAGATGTTTTTCCATGTAGTTGGAAGTTTTTCTCCTGACCAACCACCAATCCCCACAGTGCTTATTAAATAACCATCCTGAGGCTTATTTACGGGTGCTTAACTGATGGCTCAGGCTTATTACTAGCTAGCTCTACATATAAATTAACCCATTTCTAATATTCTGTATTTTACCATGAGGCTTGTGGCTTGTTGCCTCACATCTTGCTTCTCTGGCGGCTACATGGCATCTCCCTGATGCCACCTTTTTTTTTCTCCATCTCTCTGTTTGGGTTTCCTGCCTCACTCTATTCTCTCTGGCCATTTGGCCAAATCAGCTTTCTTTATCAACCAATGATAACAACGCTTATTCGAAGCATACAGAAGGACATCCCACATCATTTCCATTTCAGTAGGGTGATGTCAGAGTGGTGTGACATTGACACGGACATGGCTAGGAGTGTTAAAAATGGCAGCAGATACAACACAATATGGTGGCTGGTAACTGAGATGGGCTCCATCACTGTACAGCTTTGGCATGGGACCTCCAGCCAGTACCTGCAGGAGGTGTCCTGTGTCGGGTGCCTCTTCTTCCTTTTCCTTCTTCAGAAGCTTCAAGAGAATAGCCAAGGTTGAGTGATGAGTGAACGATGATCCCAGGGCAGTGTGCTGTGTTTGTCAACATTCTGACCCCTCTGCACAACTCCCAGAATGCTATTCGTAGAGCAGGACGGCTCTGAAGAAGGTGAAAAGAGGCTTTATAGTACATAAAGGTGGACACTTAATCCACCAACTAATTGATGAACACATTGGCCCACTGAGGTCTACCAGGCCAAAACCCTTTCTTTTAAGCCAACCAACCAACCAACCAACTATCCACCCCAATTCTTATTTTGTGTCTCACATCCCAAGTCTTGGTTCCCTTCTCAACTATCTTTCTGAAACTCAAATTATAGATACCACTGACTTCCAAACTTCAGATGCTTCTTCAGGGTAGTGCCCAAGAATTTGTACCTTTCCATTCTCCCCGTGTTTCCAAGTGTGGCCTTTGTGCCTCCCTCCAAGTCCACCCTGAAGTCGGATGGAAGGGGCTGTCTATTGCCCCTCACCTCTCCCTATCTCCAGTGCTACTAACATGGGAAGCCTGACAGCCCGCATCCTGGTCTCCACAATTATCCCTTTGTCCATCAAAGCTCAGAACTGGCTTATCCCCCATACAGTTATCCACAGCCACCTGTGGCTTGTTCTGATTCTTTCAGCTATTTGCACTGGAATTTCTTTATACATATTTCTTGCCAGACCAAGAGCCTGTGGATTGATCTTGCTGTGTTCTGACAAAACATCACAGAGTCACTTCCTCCTAGGAGCAAGAGAAGGCTCGTTTATTACGTTGAACACATCCCCCGAGTTTATAGAATTGGAAACTATTAAGAAACATTATTGTGGATGTTTGCGTGGCCTCCCAAATGAAATTGACAAACCCTGGAGTTTAGAGTTGGGAAGAAATGCACAGGAGGTGAAGGCATGGATGGAGAGCTCTTTCTTCCTGTGCTTTCTGGTGCGGCTACTCAAGCCACACCAGTTTGATGGTATGGTCTTTAACCTGAGGTAAGGATGAAAATCTACCGAAGATTCAAAGGAAATTATCATATTCCAAAATACAAGCAAAACACCGCCAACCGGAAATGATCTGACTGTTGTACACATGGGTCCCTCTACTATAACACAGAGTAAATAAAACTAGACAAATGTAGGTGGCTAGACCAAGGTAACTAACCCACCTTGTTATTTTTGTGTTTCAGAAGGCAGCTTTTTATAGTCACTTCTCACAGCCATCTTTATCCCCCCTTTTTTTTTTTCCTTTCCCTCAAGGACAATTTCATTCACTTTTACAAGGAAAACAAGACAGGGAAGCTGTAAATCTATCTCTGCAGCCCTGAGGAGGAGGGAGATGGATGGAGATAGAAGAGTTAGGGCAAGATGGGCAAGCAGTGCATGGCAGATAAGCAACCATACAGTGAGGTGAGGATACTTGAAATAAGGCGAAAAAGCCCAGAGCACTAGGGAAAGCACCTGGGCTTTGTAAGCATCTGAACAGAAGAATAGGCAGCGGAAGGAAGGAAGCAAAGGAAGCCTACACTTTTCTGAACTAGGACCCAGAAATTCGGGCAGGCAGCATGGCAGAGTTTCCACAGGTGACGCCTTTTAAAACTTTGAGACAAGGTTGTATTCTACTACTCTGTAGCCCAGGTTGGCCTAGAACTTGTGGTGATCCTCCAGTTTCAGGCTTCTGGGTGCTGTGATTACAGATGTGAGCTACTACATCTAATTCAGAGCAACCATCTTGAAGAGCTCTCTCAGGATAACTAAAAAATACCCTGAAGAAAGCCATGGCCCAGATCTGGACATTATCCCGAGGGCTAGGCAGGGTTCTTCTATCCAACATGATGTAAACATGCAAAGGGAGGCTTATTAAAGAATTGGGTGACATATGTAGAGGTCAACAAGTCCTGCTGTCTGCCACCAGCAATCAGGAGAGCCAGCGAAGATGGCGACGTGGTTGCATTTGAATAAAGTGTCATGAGAAGCAGAAGAGCCAATGGTATAAGTGTTCAAAGGCCTGAGGGTCAGTTGAGATGGTGTCCAAGGGCAGAAGAGGGTGCATGACCCACCTCAAATAGAGAGAGAATTAGTTCGTTGACTTTTTGTTTTATTCAGGTCTTTAATAGACCGGATGATGGCCTGTCTTAGTCCATTGTGCTACTATAATAGAACACCCGAGACATAGATTAGGTAACTTATAAAAATCACTCCATGATTCTGGGAAGTCCAAGACCATCAGCTGGCATCTGTGAACGCCTCTGTGTCACATGCAGAAAACTGAAAGGGGAAGAAAGAACAAAATATGTGTCCTCACATGGCAGAACAAACAGGAAGTGCTTGCCCAAACAAGCCCTGTTCATCACAGCATCTACCCATGGGCAGCAGGTGTTTGTCAACCATCACCCAGGCGCTTAGGAAACTGTCTGAAAGAAATCATGCCTCCAGGGTTGTCCTCATGGCACAGGCTGATTGTCGCAAAAGGTTCTGGAATCCAGGTTCATATCACGAGAACAAGAAACCTTTCAAGAACCCAGCTGGTCAGGATGCAATCCCATTGTACACGAACACTTTCCCCGTTTCAATTTACAAAATATTCACTAGCAGTAGGACCTTCTACAAACCAATGGATAGGATCACCACAGACCGTCGACTGGCATCTGTGTATGGCACCCCGTGCAGCTTTGGCAGGGGAGGAAAATATAGCCGAGAGCAGTCTAATCCCACTGTGTCTTTTACAACAGTGGGGGCATGGGGGTGGGAGGGAGGAGAGGGAAGAGAATCAATGGCTGTTTATATTAGTGATAGCTCTAGACAGAGAATAAAAGAAAAACATAGCAAGTTCTTTCAAGCAAGGAAAATGCCTGAAGGAAGTACGCAAGTGTGCACCTGACTTCTGTTGGGGATATCTGCGTAGCAACGGGGAAGTGGATCTGACTCCAGGCTCACTTCCTCCTCAGAGTGGATACAAAAGGGGCTCCCCCAGCAGGAGGAGGCATCACATCTCCCTCTCCTCTCCTGAGTCTCTCTCCTCACTGCACCTGAGTCCTCTCTACTGACACCATGGGTTGCTGTGGCTGTGGAGGCTGTGGTGGCTGCGGCTGTGGTGGCTGCGGCTGTGGCTGTGGTGGCTGCGGCTGCGGCTGTGGTGGCTGTGGCTGTGGTGGCTGCGGCTGTGGTGGCTGCGGCTGTGGTGGCTGTGGCTGTGGTGGTTGCGGCTGTGGCTGTGGTGGCTGTGGCTGCTGTGGTTGCTGTGGCTGCTGTGGCTGCTGCAAGCCTGTGGTCTGCTGCTGCCGCCGCACCTGTTGCAGCTCCTGTGGCTGTGGCTCCTGTGGCTGTGGCTGTGGGAAGGGCTGTTGTCAGCAGAAGTGTTGCTGTCAGCAGAAGTGTGGCTGCAAGAAGTGTTGCTGCTAGGATGGCTGCTGGCCTCTGGACCTCTCCCATAGGTAACTATTATAGGTGAGTTTTGTCTATCTGGCTGTCTGCTCCCATCTGGTTTGTAGGTTACAATTGTGAACTGAATCTATCACCAGCCTGTGGGAATCTCACACTTTGTAATTTTGTGCCTCATCATCATTTACTAACATCATAGACATTAATAAACATGCAGCCTTCTCAGTTAATCACAGCATTTTAATAACAACTGTGACAGAATGCAGTCAAAAGACTTAATGATGCACCTTCCTAAAATGCCCATTGCTATGTTCTGTTTTAACCTCTGCAAAGCTTATGTGTGTAAACAATGCAACTCCTGTCTTAATAAATAAATTACACTGAACCAGTCTCAAAGATTCATCTCTTCCCACCCCCCATCTTTCCATTCTCTAAGCTTTCCTAAAGACAATGAGTGTTATCTCAGCAGATAAGGCTCGTGAGTAAAAAGAAAGTCAAGAATTACAGGTGAGATAAATAGTTGGCCCTTTGTGGATGTGAGAAGGGAGGGACATAGGGGTGGGACACCTTCTCAACCGGGGCCCTTCAATGCTATCAGCTCCGATGTACTGCCGACCAAAGGATAATGCAAAAATATTAGATCAGTTCCCAGACGTGTATGTATGAAGCCTGATTGATTTTGAGGATTCTCATTTGGAAGGCCACTTTCTGTCTGCTCCTAGAGTCCTTACCTACTGCATGCTGACTTCACTGTCCATGGCCTCATTTCTGAGATCACTCCAAAGACTCCGTGGGTCTCGTCGCCTTATCTCTGTAGTCCATTTCATATTTCTCTTGGACGATCTCACCCTCTGACTCATCTGTCCAAGATCTGAATGATAAAGTTGGGCTATAGCTAGTTGCCATGGAACTCCTAGCTCCTACTCTAAGCCACAGGTCAATGTCAGTTGTGATGTGAAGTCAACATTAAAAAACAAAACAAACAAAACTAAGGAAAGCAAACCGAAACCAGGCAAACCTCAAAGCACTCTCAGAGTGTCCACACACACAATGCAATATGTCCTCCTATGTCTCCTTAGTTAATCTCCTCTCATCCCCGTTCTCTGTAGACTCCAGATTCTAGCACTTTCAGGGATTATGTAGCAGTCATGTGAGACTGAAAAGTCTTGTTTGGCAGTCCTAGCAAGCACCTGGTGGCCAGACTGAACCAAGGGAAGCCTGCCTGCGTCCTGTAGTGTATTTCCCTTCAGTGTATTCTTAAGGTCCAGTTAGAGCATCTCCTTGTATTTCTAAGTAGAGCCCAGGCCAGGACAGAAATTTACATGGTAGATATGACACATGGAATTGTCAGAACTAGAGGGAACAAGAGAGCAATAAGCCAATGAAAACCTGCTTTAAGACTCAAGATGAGCCCTTGGAAAGCTAGCTGCCATTAATAGGGTGAAGTCTGGGTGTTGTTGGTGAGGTATGGGTCAGCCTCTTGAGACTAAGTTCACAGAGTGTATTGTGTATCACTCATGTTTGTCTCTGTTGCTTTGACCATCTGTGTGCATGTCTTAGTGTCTTCGCTAGGGGTTCTGTTCCTATGAAGAAGCAGCATGACCACAGCACTTTTAATTGGGGTGGCTTACGTTTTCAGAGGTTTAGTCCGTTATCATCATGATCTGACATGGTGGAGTGCTGGAAGATACGGTTCTAGGACAGAGCTAAATCTTGGCCTGCAGGCAACAGGCAGCAAACTGACACATGGTGTATCCAAACTACCACACTGCAGGAGCCCTGAGAGTCCGATAGCAGCAGGTTACCCAGGGCCCTTTAGTTACTTTCAGTCTGCAGGGTTCATTCTTGAACCCACGGTCTATCTCTTCCTCTCCTGTTGGTTTTCCTCTTGGACTTTTCTCTTCTCATGGGACCTGCTGGCTCCCAAGAGGAAGGAGTGAAGAAAGAGTTCAGGTTCATTCATCTGACCTAAGGGCAGCTGTTTCTCATACAGGACTCTGGAGCTTGGACAGTAATATTGATCAGAAGTATGGAGCACACATCCTTTCCTTGGACCTAAGACCCAACTCCTTCTAGACACTTGCTCTCCTTGACCCATTCGCTGGCAACGAGTTTGCTCTTGGCCCGTGGCAGTAGAAGATGTGTACAGTGAGAGGTTGATGGGTCACTGTCACTCAGTGTTAGTATAGATTTGTGAAGAAAGCATGGACTATTTTATTCTTAAGGCACATCACAGATGATATGGTCATAAGAGGAGACAGAACCAAAGCTCAGGGATCAAAGTTTATTGTTTCAGAGATCCTGGAGAGATGAATCCACCCACGCCAAGAAGGGGGTCACCTGGGAGTGATCAGCAAGGGAGAAAAATCAGTCACTCATGTGAGCAGCAAAATGAGGGAGGGCTTATGGGCTCATCGTGGCTGTTGTAGTGGAGTTTATAACAAAGATGCTAGCAGACTTCATTGGTACCTCCGAGTGCTACCAGGGATGGACAAAAAGAGAAACTTGTGACCAGATGTGACTTTATTATAGTGTGGTGGGCACCTCACTACCTAGCAGGTATGCTCACATTTTCCAGGACAGTGCACCACCGCCATTTAATGGACATCTTTTTCAGGCATGGTACTGATACAGGGATATCAAGACACAATTCTTTCTGCCCAATAGGTGACCGTTTGCTGTGGAAAAGGAGATAAGTGCAAATCTGCGATGCTTACTGGAGGCCAGGTGAGACAATAGACAAGAGCAAAGATTGAGTGAATACAGGGTACCAGGAAAGCGACCTGAGTAAGGATGACGCATATCAGGTCGCCGTGTTTTGTCATTCTTTTGTTGTGGGTTGAAACGTGTTCCCTTTAAATAGTTAAAGGTGTAGTTACAGCCCAGAGGTGGTGGTGCACGCCTTTAATCCCAACATTTTGGAGGCAGAGATAGATGGATCTCTGTGAGTTCGAGGCCAGCCTGGTCTACAGAGCAAGTCCAGGACAGGTTCCAAAGCTACAGAGAAACCGTCTTGGAAAAAAAAAAAATAACGAACAAACACACAAAAAGGTGTAGTTACATTAAAGTGTGGTCATCAGGGTAGGTCCTGGTTCTGTGACTGAATAGGTATAGACATGCACTGAAGGAAGAACTGTGATCACAGAGAGAATGAGGGGGTTGCATAGCATTGTTGGTTGTCCTCACATCTCAGTCCAGAGCCTCCTCCACGTGGTCTTCACCCGGATGCTCTCTGAACTTCAGCTCTGCCTGCACGGGGTCCCCTGAATCACAGATCCACCTGTACTGAGTGATAGGGAGAGCAAACAGTGCCAAAGCTTTGAGGAAAAGAAAGGCAAAGGTTTTGTTCCGGGAAGCTGTGATGGTGAATCTCGTTTGTGAACCTGGCAGGGTGTAGCCTCACCTAGGCCACAGACCTTGGGGCATAAGGGTTATCTACATTGGGTTAACTGTGATAGGGAAGACTCAGCAGCACCATGGGCTGGTAAACTAGAATCACTCTCCAGGAGGTTGGAGAGATGTCTCAGAGGTTAAGAGCACTGGCTGCTCTTCCAGAGGTCCTGAGTTCAATTCCCAGCAACCACATGGTGGCTCACAGCCATCCGTAATGAGATCTGGTGTCACCTTGTGCCCTGTGGTCATACATGGAGGCAGAATGTTGTTTACATAATAAATAAAATGTTAATAAAATAAAATAAAATCACTCTCCAGCTCTTGTTCCACCAAGCTTGGCTTTGTAGCTGAGAGCCTTTCAAAGAATTTTTAACCTGAGAAAGAAAAGCCTATTTTAGCAATTCTCAAAACTTCAGAAGATGTGCGGTTTGAGTAAGACCAACTGTCTTTTTATTTAGTGGACAAAATGGCTTGTGGTTGTTAGAGATAACTTGAGTCTGGGCTCCTTTCATTGGTAAAAGGAGCATAGATCTGACTTGTGCAGGCTGATCTCAGTTGTCACCTTGGCTTGGCCTGGAATTAAGTAAGAAACATGCCTCTGGGCAGGTCCTTGAGGAATTAACTGAAGGAGCCTTCTGGGGGGGGGGCAATACCTTTTAGTGGCAGTTCATACAGGAAGAGATCTGAGGGGAAAGTGGGCCAGCTTATTTTGCCTGACTGCCTTCACTCCCTGTTGGTGAATGCAGCTATCCTGTTGCTGCCTCTGCAGCCTCCATCCTTTGCTAACATCGGAACACATCTTCTCTGGCTTTCTTACATGGGCTGACGGTGAATGGCTTTCCAGGAATCCTCCATCCTCCAGGCTCTTAGCAGCAGATTGGGATAGATGAGGTGTCCAGCCACTTGGATGAAGCTGCCATGCTCCTAGCCCCTTCCACTGTGCAAATAGCCATCTTAGACCACTCGGTTCCTTATAGTTATCCTGTAAGCCAGTCTTACAAATCTGCTTTGTAGCAAGTATTCATTCTCTGGTCCTCTAGAGAACCTTGACTGATGCCTACCCAAAGAGAAGAAAGAGAAGTTTTTTTGTTTGTTTTTTGTTTTTTCTCTCAGAACACAGCTTTGAGCATGGCCTAAACCTCAAGGATCCTTTAGGCTTATAAGTCTAAAACAATAGAAAGAAATGAGCAAAAAACACAAATCCCAGATCATTAAGGAAGATCTCAAATGATTTTGCAAGCAACCTGAAATCTTTTTTTCTTATTTTTATTTTTACTAATAGAATTCTTACATATCGATTCCAGTTCCCTCTTCCTCCCTCCCTCCCGTGATCCCCAACACCCCCCCCCATCCCATTCCCCACCCACTCCACAGGGACGGGCTGGCCTTCCAGGAGGCATCATCAAAATCTGTCTTGTCATTTGGAGTAGAGTCTTTTCTGTCTCTGGTTAAGGGAGTATCCCTCCATGGGGAATGTGATCCCAAAGTCCTTTCATGCATCCTTGCTCCATTATCAGAGGTTCCTTAGTTTGCTCAGGTCTTCTAACTGAGACCCCTGTTCAGTGGGTCTGAGCCGGTCCAATGCTGTTTTCCCAGCTATCAGTCTGGGGGGGGGCATGGGCTCCCCTTTTTCAGGTCAGC